AAAAAGATGGATCTTAATGGGTCCGGGAAGTATGAGACGTGCCCGGGCGATACGATCGGAGAGGCCTTACATAAATCTAGTCCACGTTACGCTCGATTAACGTGTATAATATACCCGTAGCCCAGTTATGCGCCTATGGGATTTTAACGAGGTATATTAAGCAACTCCTGGCCGTCGGCGCGAGGAATTGGACGTACACCCTCGGGGACCCTCGAAAACGACGATGATAATTACAAATACGTGCCCACGTATGTCCCTCTCCTTCCGAAGAAACGGCAATCAATTGAGAATTAACAATAGGCATTTAGCAGAGGCCCTCGGGTCGACCGCATGGCCGTCTTGTCCCTTGCCTTTCGTGAATTATAAATTATATCCACCGTACGATAGGACATTGGCCCTTGTACACCCGACACCCATCAAAAACTACATACGTGGCTTTTCCTAGTCACATGTATACCCTCGCAATCACTGCGCTTTTGTATTGTTTATTGCTGATTATACGAGTGGTTTCTAGCATTACTCTGCTGCAAACTGGTATGGGATTAAAAAGAAAAAAAAAAAAAAAGTAGAGCCGAGTGTATACTTAATGGCAGGGGAAAAAGTGGGAGAGGAGCTGGAATGAGATCCAGAAACCAGCCAATGCGTTTGATGCGCATACGTAGACTCAAGTTCCTACCTGGCAAGGTCTCATTTGTATCGGCGTACACTGTAAATCCAAGTGTATTCAATCACACGTTTCATGTGTGTAGTTGAAGTTTTTGTTTTTTATAAAGCACATATCGTAGTGGCGTGGATAAGAATTTGATGAACAACCAAATCTATGTGCACCAAGTGGTTAACCAGTTTCGTGTAACTGGATACTTTTGAATGGAAAAACCCAATGTAGGATATAGCTGTGGAGTTGAAAAACTTTGCTGTCTGTGACAGAAGTATTTTACTCTCTACAGCCAATCCCATGTCAAGCGTTGAAAAAGAAAAAATGTTTTAGTTTAATAGAATTCACTGAGAGAAAAAAGTAATTAAAATTACTGTGCTACAATGGTAATCTGGTAGTGTTCGGTCGTCTAGAGACTTTTTACTACTGTAACAATAATTTTTAGTGTTTAGAACAGTAATTTTTGTTGTAAGTACCACTATTTTTTACTGTTTGTACAATGGAAATTACTGTCCAGCAATAAAAATGAGGTTGGTCTAAGTAAAAAGTCCTTAGACGGTGGAAATGACACCAGATTACCATTCAAACACAGTAATTTTTATTTTTCTCTCAGTGCGCGTGAAATAAATGACGAAGCATCGATTTCGTTGTTCTTCAAACGTTTATCAAAACTATTATTAATGCATTTCATGAAAAACCAAAATTTCGATGAGACGCTTATAATTATACCTTAAGACACTTGGATTTGACAGTGTAGTTGTTAACACACGTGTGCGCACGATTCGCAACTTTTCTCTCTCCCCTCTGGCTCGTGTACTTAACAGTACAGGTAAGCTGCATGTATAACGGGTGACGCGTCGCGTAGGTACAAACATGCATTACACGTCTGGCAAAGGTCATTAAATCTTTCAATTACTTGCCACCACCTACTCTTGCGCGTCGACATATATACATCGTACGGCACTTGTTAGGGGGAAAAAAAAAGAACTCCTGCGCGAGGGGCCTCGTTTTGACGATGTGAAAAAAATAAAATGAAAGATGAAGACCCCGATGTGGGCGATGGAAAAGCAATGGGGGAAATGATATTGTACGTTTGAAGCCTCGCTTTACTGCTTGTCGGGGAGAGGGAGACGGGGACATTATTGTAGGTCTAGTCGGGCTGTCAGTGAAGATTGATTATTGATAAGATGGGAAATTGTTTCTTTGAAGATGGGGGCTTTTTCTTTTTTGTTCGTCCTCGAGTGAAAGTCGATTTTTTGAGGGTTTTTAGTACAATAAGATTATTGGGCTTGATGATAAATGATGAATGGGCACATAAATGTGCGAGACGGCCTAAAAATTCTTTTATTTAAAACTTGGATGTGGATTGCGAGGTATTTCAATTTTCTTTAATGTTTATCCTGGTATTTATTATTTTAATATTTAAAAACAAAAACAAAAAAACATATTTACGAAGCTTCATTAAAATTTATTCCATCATGTGCTTCTTTACACGATAATAGTGATTCATTACCTAGAAATAGAGTCTTTTAATGGTCCGAAGGCCAACTTTTCATGATAAACAGTTCATAACTTATTCATCATCGTAAACACGCTATTATTGATAAGAGAGTGAATTTAGACTAACGAGCAAACAACAATCAGTGCAGGCCATCAATAATTACCCCCAGGCACCGCGCAGTCCCAAACAAAGCAAGATTCATCGAACTATATTCATCTATTATTACATCCCATTAGTACCTCATGAATTTCATACGTTCTCTTTTTAACTTGAAATCGTTGCGTATGAGTCGATAATTTGAGTCTACAAATCGATAATTACGTTTTTCACATTTGTACGTATTTTTTATTACTCTTCAAGCACGCAAACAATGAATTTTTTAAAAACATAATTACGCCGTTCCACCTTTTAACTGGAAAATGTACTGCTTATGAAAATTAATCGATTATTCATGTTTCCAGAGAAACTCATTGTCAGGGAATACATACATATATATGTTCTGCTACGGTAAAAACTCGCATATTAATATTCCGTACGGAATACGAGCTTATAAATACATACTACATTTCCATTGTGCATATTGTTTCTGCGAACTTTCGTATCCATTATAGAAAAACGAAGAAAATTTTACAACAATAGCCGGTACAAGACAGACAAGCGCATAAAATTTCCCCCCCCCCAATAAACTTACTTTCATATCTTCCACAAGAACATTCCTATCGATCTATGAATGATGTCTACCTCTCGTGAACTTCCCTCTCTCTTTTTCTGTCTCTCGCACGGTCTCGCTCTCACTCGATGCCCCGATGCTTCCCTCTTTCTCAATACACGTCTCTAGCACGCCCTTTCTCTCTCCTAAAATTTATTATACTTGGACTGGTATTCTGAAAAATTTGTTTCTGAAGAATATCACGTTTTCGAACAACGTCCAAAATATTTATATTATTTTTCAAACTTTCGACACACAACAACAACGTTTTATAAGGTTTATAATATTCTTTGGCACTTTAAGTGCTTTTTGTATGAGTTACGGAGGCTTTAGCGCGATAAAAAAAAAAAAAAAGAAAAAAATATACTTGGAAAGAAAAATAAATTATGCACTTGAAAAGTAATGTCGTTTCAGTAGAGCACATGAGTACTGGGATATACTGGTTCATTTATTATTTTTTTTTAGAAACCCACATGTGTTTCAGGCAGTGGAAACGAGAAAATTCAGATATAATTTTGTTACAGACACGTTACTGTAAACATAAATCTATAACTACATTTCACATGATGTCATCCATATCTTATGCAAACAACGAAAATAAACAATTTTTAACACGAATACTTTTGTCACCGATCTTACAGCCACAAAGTAGTTACAATTTTCAGTTCTATGTACCAGTAACATATCAGAACATATGTTGAATAATATTGCACCAACCGCAGGTGACCAATACACGAGAGAGATCTGAATTTCTGAATTAAAGCAGCCATACGACACATAGAAAACGTAACGTTGCGCAACACGAAAATAGATATGAAGTATGAAATCCAGGCTTGCTTCCATCTAACACGATCGCATCGTCCAGATGAACGTCGAACTCCCGGATATGCCCATACCCACCTATAAACCATAGGAGGTAACATTTATGCTCCTCGCCATATTACGCGAGAGCCACGCTGAAAGCCAAAGGAAGCAGCTCAAAATCATCGTACAGTTTGATATTAACATGGCGTTCGGAGTGGGACAATCGTGGCATTACACGCGTTATCCGTTCTGCCTCCTCGACGTCATGTTCCACTTCCTTCTCACGTTCTCTTTCCTCTTCTAGTTGGAAAAAAAAAACTGTGTATATATTTATATTTATTTCGTCTCGCTCGCTCGCCGCTCTTTTGGAACAAAAATACTATTTTCCAAATATTTTGACCTTGACGCATGCCTACGTCATGAAAACTGCTCGACGACGCGTTTTAATAACCCCCTCGTGAGTACATATACATCATAAAGTTTCGTCGTTTTATCTTTCCGCGAAGAAACTGCGTGAGCTCGACTAGAGCTTTTCATAAACTTGGCTGTCTGCTACTTGAGTTTCTCTCGCTTCCTCGTATACCCTGCACCAGCAGTTTCATCACCCAAAGTATATTTTCCCCTGCATTTCCCTCTCTAATTACTTACTTCGTTTGATGTCAAAACGCCCGTACGAAATATTTCGAAAGTCGGTGCGTGGACATACATATGATATATACATATACACAGATAAGACGAAAAACAGTGATGCAGAAGAGCTTATCGACACGCCCGATTGTGCCCATTTTTCGTTTCTCTCTCCTTTATTATCCCCCTTATCTGAATATACTTATTATAATGTACTCCCTGCAGCCGTTGTCTACATTTTTCCGTACGAATAACCTAAAAAAAATCCCTGCAATGTACAAAAAAAAAGTTTGCAAGTCCTTCTAGCAACCCCTACTCCACATAGTACAACATCCCCGAGCCAACCAAACGGATTCAAACGATCCCCCCCACTTAAAACCCCTCGCTTGGTTACAGCGAAACTAGCCGAGATGTGCCTCGAAGACCCTGTAGGAAAAAAAAATTCCCCAAGAGGGGGGATCCCCCAATTAATTCGTCCGTCCCTGTTTTTAGTGCTCGCGCCTGCGCACTCGATCCTTGGCTCGTATATATATATCCACAGGCAGCTTTGGCTGAAAACTCGGCTGGCGTCAAGCAGATAGCCTTACCTACCGTACCCCGCAACACATCCCGGCTGCAGCATGTAACGTTCCCTCCTCACGAGCACTATAGGTGTATATATATATATAGCTCCCCTTCGAAAACCGCATGCCGGCGACAGCAGCCCCAGGGTTGTGTGTGCGCGCGCGCGTTCGAACACCAGCTGGTGTGCGCCTTGTACACGTCCTTCGTCCCTCCCTCCTGTCCCCTCCTCGTTTATCGCTCACCGTCTCTCTCTCGCGCGCGTGTTCGGGGAGTCTCCAGCGTCGTGCTTTGAAGTACCGGGTGCCCCTCGGCAAAGGCTCTCCGTGAGGAGTTCCACAAGGGCCGGCCACCGATCTCTACTTTGACACCGCGCTCATATATTTATATACATCCACACCTACAGGAAGATATCTGTATATACATATATATACAACTGTATGGAGTATAGCCCACTGAGAAAGAGAGAGAACGAACGTGCTCTGGCTGGCTGTCTTCCGTCGGATAAACGTGAGCAGCTTGCCCGCCTGCTGGCTGGCTGGCTTCCCTCGTTCACGTCGTCTTCGTCGGCCAGCAGCTCGAGGACTGCTGGCTGAATTATTTTAATTCCTTTTTATTTTTATTTTCTATTTGTTTGTTATTTTATACAGTCTTTTTTACACGATTTTGGACACTATTGTACACACATCATCGTGTACATGTGCTTAACGCGAGTTTTTCACCCGAGTGTGGTTTCAAGTATAGTGTGTTTGGTTCGCGCGACCGTTGGGTTGTTTTGTTGGTGATTTTGGAATTTCATTGGTGAATGTAATTTTGCAAAAGAAATAGTTATAAACAATATACTGCCAGAGGAATTGAAATATGGCGGATGACGAAGCCGATGGAGCTGAGGTCGTCGACAGTGACCAGAAGCAGATCATCAAGACGGTTATGAGGGGTCTAGTGCCCGGCGAACGTGTCCTCGTCACCGTGGAAGCTGCCCTGCCGGATATCGTCGTTGTGAGCCTCGAACACGGGACCAAAAATTTTCAAGGCGCACTGCTCGATGCTACCAAAAGGTGAGCGGCAAGTTGTTTTGGTTTTCCCAATTTTTATTGGTTTTTAAGATGAAAAGGAGGGTGGAGGAACGATTTCGCGACGAACCGGCTGTTACCTTATCGGGAGGCACCGAGCACGTGCTTTGCGAAAACTTTTCGAATTCGCCCCCTCCAGCCCTCCCCTCTCAGGGTCGGATATATTGAGAATGGGGTTGCTTTGCTCGTTGGCAGGGTTGTCGCAAATACTACCCCGAAGGGTAAAAAGCTTGCGATGTGCCGTTTGTTGTTTTGTAACGATTGGGTTATACACCACGAAAATAGGTTTCCCACGTTATAAAAGCCGCACGTATTTTCGAAATTCTTTCCCACGAATAACGCGAGGAAAATGCTGTGAATCAACGAAAAATGTCATTTAGTTGACGCCACTGCCACGTGCAATAATGTTGAATTTTTGCAGTTTAGTGTGGTCTTACGTGGTGTTTTTAAAAAATAGGATTTTTTTTTCTTAACCACTCGTAGTACGTATAAAAAGCGAAAGTCGTGCGGTACGTATTTTTTTCACGTTTGGATGTTGGCACTGATGAGATTTATTATTGCAATTAAGGGCAAGGAGAGGAAACAAGAGCCTCTCGTCCGTAATGAGTCAAACAGAAAAAAAATGTGTTCTTGACATTTATATCCGCTTGAATCGAATAGTTCATTAGTACCGCACATATGATCTTATAATTAAAGGTTGCATTGCAATTGAATGTAGTTTGATTGAATTTTCATCATCATCTACATTGCACATTAATTAGAGATATTCTAGAGACTATGCTCGAATGGAAATTTCTTCAACTCAAACTGTAGTCGTCACAGAGTAGAAAATGGAAACACGTCATCATCTACGAGATGTACGATTAAAAATATTTAACTTTAACCTAGAGAATTAATTGAAATTGTTGGTTTCGTAGGTCGAATCATCCAATACTTTAACAAAAAATTAACTAACAAAATAATACTGATATCTTTGGTAACCCTATTAATAATAACAACAATAATTGTAATTATTATAATTATAATACTAATAATAATAGTAATATAGATACAGTATAGAATTTAAAAACCAAATATCGAAAACACAACTGAATAATCAATTGTCACCAAATTTTGTTGCAAGCTGGCGTCGAAAACTTTTTTTTTTTATAGAATAGAACCCATTCAAATATTTACTTGATTAATAATATTTGGATGAATAATAGATTTTTTGTAATTAAAAAAGGAAATAGTTGATAAAATTGACATTTTTAATATTTAAAATAAACTTCCCAGAAATAACTTTCAATATGTATCGTATTACTATTTTCTAGAAGAACCCATTTACAATTACTTATAATCAATCAATTTATAAGTCAGCGCACTTGGCAATAATTTTTCAAGATTTTGTTAGACAAGAAATCGAGAAGTTTGCGTGAAACTTGAAAACTTTTTACTTCTTCATGATGAAAAAAAAGCGGTAAGTGGGTTTCTCTGCCTCTTAAAGGTTATAAGTGGGTTCTTCACCCATTGACTTTTAATTATCTTCTGGTGACTCGACCATCTTGTTTGTACTTTAGGATATTGAAAAAAAAGAAGAAGTATGCTTGATTTGCACAACGAAATTTCTCACAGTCAACCGTGAAAAGAGCAAAAGTTTCGAATATTTATAAATCACTCCTATATGTACATCGCATGTTTGTCTAGTCAAAGTAGAATTTTTTCGCGTTTATGATAATTTCAAGGTAAATTTTAATTTTCTAAAGTCGTTAACTTGTACACTTTATCGATTATGCGTTGTGCAGCGACAAAAAAACCATTAATCAAAAATATTGTTTAATTACATTTGTTTCGAAACGATCAATGAAATCAACGATCAAATGATCGAACACTCCCCCTAATGACGACATTTTCCCCCGCAAACAGCGAACAAGGGCGCATTAACCTCCAATCTGTCGGTTCGTGTGCCTGAGAAACTCTAAAAGTGCAGCTTTCAATAGGCACATTTTCAATTACCCGAGTAGCTATACCACCACCACGCCTTTATGTGGGTACATGGATGCAAAAACGTGCCACTGAGAAATACACATTTTCGTGTGCTCGTACTAATAAGCCCCAACTTTGTCATTGCTTGGTGGTACAGCACAAAACACCCGCGGACGAGTGACGAGGGTTTGCTATTTTTCTGAATAGAGAATCGGAGGCAGGACAAAACGGAAAATGTACCTACTTTTGGTCGTTGCATTCATTCTTTTGTTAGCTCGAAAGGGAGAAAAAAAAAGAAGGAAGGATTCGTGAAAATATATTCGCGCGAGGCGAGGTGTGATTTTTAGCTTCAAAACATATGAAGGCGAGAGGATAATTTCTGAAAAACCACAAATTTGTTTAAACGCGTATCTATTGCCTCATCTCTTTCGAATTGGCTTCTGTAATTTACTTCTTTTGTCTCTTTGAACAATGTCGTTGCGATAATGATAATCACTCCTACATGCATTCACTCTTCTATGGTAACACACAAAGAGCTGCTGAAATTAATTTGTACAAGTATTTATTGAACTTTATGGTACAATGTTCATGAGGTGAGAACTGCTAATGATAAGGTAGAGACGGACGTGTTTCTTTATCTGGCAGAGCCTTGTTGCTTTCAAAAGGAAAGTGTTTGTCGAAAAATAAAAAATACAATTGTAGTAAAAACTTGATACCTGTTTCGGGAAATACTCGTAACCTATGCTGTGTTTGAAAATAAGATTGCTTGACAATTTTTTGAAACAATCACTTTCCAAATAAATTGGTCGTGTAAGATATTAATTGTAAATTTCATGATTAAAAAAAAATATTGCAGTCCTAATTACTGAATCGAATTATTAAATCAAAAGTGTAACTTGAATTTACAAAAACAATTTGTTGGAACAAGTCGAGTATTATCTACGTTCAGTCTTGAAACCTCAGAGGTGCTGTACAAGCTTTTCTTTATCTACTCGTGTATGAAGTTATGAAAGAGGCGAGTCACTGACAACTTGATAACAAAGGAAATCAATCCTGAAAGAGAAAAAAAAAGTTTCGATATCAATGTAAAAAACATCTCTCAACATAAAACAAGTGGATGAATTCATACAAAACAATTCAAAATATTTCTTTCCGATGTCATGTGGTTAACTCGAAACTAGATTCAACATCTTTTTTAGACCGTAAATAGACGATTCATAAACGGTTCCTTTTTTTTCTCTGTCAAAAATGTAAGGCAATCCCACACATTGATTGTGCCCAAAAAGTAAAAAAACAAATGAAAAGTTTTGTTTATCGTATCATTAAGAAAAAGTAATTACCGATAATAAAAATTCATTTATTAAGTTCATATTCTCTGAGAAAATAAAAAATTGTCGACTCCATCGAGCCTACGTAAGTGTCTGACTTGTTACGGCCCTGAATACCGGATCCACCCAAGACCCGAGAATAACTTTCAGAGCGCGTTACGCTGATATAAATGTTTTAAACACAAATTGCCCCTTCAGTCGAAGCACGATTTATTATTTAATGGTATGATGATTCGATTATTCGAAATTATTTCTCCAGAAAAAACGTGAATTTAAATTGAATTTTGTTCGTTCAGTTTATAAATAATGCAATCACAAAGCATAGAAGAAAAGAAAGAAAAAAAAAAAAAAAAAAAACACACAATAAGCCTGTTCACGTATATAGACAGAAGAAAAACATGTTATGACGGTAGCACGTTCGCAATTCAATAGCAATATACGCGCAAAGGAGTTATTGACGTTTCGTTTCTTTCTGGACAACGTTGTAGTCGTAAAAACGCACGACCTCAACCTTGTGCTGCATTTTGAATATTATTCAAATTACTTTGCAAATACGCACATCGCGCGATTTCAAATTTAATTGACGTCCCGTACTTTCTTGTACTCGTATAGATTTTTTTTTACCTAAGAAGTCCCAACTTTGACAGAAAAACTTTAAACATTAATCATCGTAAAATTTTGCCAACCAAGATCTTTGAAGAACAAATGGAAAAAAAAAGAAGTTGAAACTCGACATTGTTAACTCGTGATTTATCGTTGCCAGTTGATAAGTTGAGAAGTAGTGGTATAGAAGTAGCAGTGACAGTACAAGTACACACGTGTATAGTAGTCGCAGTGGCGTAGAGTAGTTTCGTTGCGAAAGCCTTTTGTTCGTCTCTCTCGTTCTTTGTGTGTCCGTCTTTCGGAGACGAGAGCTTCATTTGTAATTGGAGCGAACTTTCGCCTTAGCGCGTTTTTTTCAATTAGAGACGAGATGGCAGAAAAAACCTTATTTCTCGGAACTCGTTGGATTTCGTTATGAGCCGATGGGTTAAATAAAGAATATTCCGATGACGAGTGTGGCCGTTAATTGAACGTCGCGACAGCGCGAATTTTTTTTTTTTTTTTTTTTTTTCTTCTTTCGTCCGAATCTACACGGCTTCGGTTTTTCTATAAATTTAGCCGCTAAATAAAATACAAGGGGTATTCAAACGTAACACAATACATTTTTGTTCTTTTTATTAATTAATATTCATTCAAATTTATCATTAACATGATTTTTGTTACATTCAATATTGATATTATTTCGAGAATGTATATTTTAACGAAACTCGAAATTTCAAGGAGGCAATGCCGCTGCGTGAAATTGTAATTAGTGGCCATTGGTGATTTTCGCAGCAAAATTTTGCATACTTTTACCGAAATAGAATTAATATTCAAGAAAAAACGCACGAAAATATATTGTTGGAAAAGAAAACATCGGTCAGGTTTGAACACTTGTATACTTTCTTCGCATATAAAAGCGTAAGCTCACACACATACATATTATGTGAGCCGCTCTACTAGCCGTTTCGAAGACATAAACCTTGTTCCGTGTAATCTGACTTGTTCTCGTCAATATATGGATATATTTTCATTTTTCATTTTCCTGGTTTAACGCCTGTCTTCGTATACATGTATTCCTCACGAGTGATAATATATTGTGCAAAATGA